CAGCTATTTTGGCTTGGCTAATCAAATGCATTTTTAAAACTAAACATAAATCACTTTGAAAAGTTTTTTTTATGAAACTGTTCAGAATAAGCTCCTCTATCTATCTGTATAGGTTTCGAGTAGAACTGATGTCTCTTTGATACAAAAAAATGAGAAAATATCTTTTTGTTCTTATAATTTTGTCCAACCAAAAACCACGGTTTTTAATAAACATGTACGTTCTCAAACTTCATATTGAAAACGAGGAAATCCGAGTTCAGTTTTGGATAGAGCATGTCGGAATGCATATGTATAGATACATGAACTATTTCGAGCAGATGAAAAGTAAAGACAAATGAAATGAAAACACTAAAAAACTGTCTGTTCTTATAATTATGTCCACTACTGTATTATCTTCCCAATAAAATAAGAAAAAAAACAAAAAGTTTAAGGTCACCCCTCCTCCCTAAAAAAACACTTTAAGCGCATTCAACAGTAACGAGAAATTGACTGACTGATTGGCAAAAAAATAGTTTATTTTTATACAGTTTAAAAAAATATAGAACGGTTGGTGATTATTCTTTTTGAATCTACTAAAATATCGAAAATTTTTTTTCAAAAAGATGTTTTTCGTTTTTTCTCAATTTATGCTTTCTTGAACGCGCAAGCAAGAATTCTCAGTAAACTTTCATTCCATGCATTTCATTCTTTTTCTTGTTTGAAAGAGCGTGTCAAGATGCAGAGCCCTTTTTTAATTAAGCTTTCCTACTAATATATGAAAGAGTATTTTTATTATTAGGACGCCATTGTTTGAATCATTGGACTTTTGATTCTTTTTCTCCGCTTAAAAAGTAAGAAATTAAAAAAAGGGGCTCTGGTAGACATTGCATCTTGACATGTTCTTTCTAACAAAAAACAAATTAAATATATAGAATGAGTCTGAACAGAGAAATTTCGTCTGCTGAATCGGCTATTCTTGACTCTTCTTTGGTGAATATCTCTATCAAACGTTATGCTATAAAGACGAAAAGTTTTGCAATAACCTTTACACTACAGCTCCGATATATTCTTCAAATTCCAGGTGATTTGAATGTACCTGGTACGAAATTTATTTTGGTGGAAGGCGAGGATGACTTCAATTAATGAATATCGAAATACTTTATTTTAAACTAAAATGTTAAATTATCAATCGGCGTTTTCTGTTCTATCATATTCGTTATTGTTTAACGCTTCAAAAATTGCATCTACAATAGTTTTATTCAAAACAATCTATAAGGAAATACTTTAAAATATTCTATTTACCATTTTCCATATTTGGTGCAGTGATAGCATGCTTTCCGTTAGCCTTTAATCCTGCATCTTCACGCTCATGCACATGTTCACCTTGATTAATGTTCGTATCACTCGTGACTACTTGACCATGTGGTTGTGTGTTTTCAATTGCAGGTTGTGTATAGTTATTAGCTAAAAAAATTTATATAATAATAAAATTGGCGAAAAAAGGCTTTGAATTAAATTACTCATAGCAGTTGTTGTGAGTGCAGAACCTTGATCGATTTCATCTACAAAAGTAAATTGAAAATATCAAACGATTAAATTTTTCCTCTTCTGAATCTAAATGTAATTCTTACTAGTACTAGGACTTCTTGTTTGTGCATCTAGATCCAAACGACAACGATTTAAAATTATAAAAGAAAAAGTAAGTATTCGAAAAATAAATATGATCGTATCTCACTATGAGCAAGCTCATTCGAATGAAATGATTCAGGTTTATATAATCCTACGATCCATCGATATGCGTATTTAATTAATTTGTATGTAAACTTTACAAATAATAAGAACCCAACAAATCGAAGAATTAAAAGAGTAAATAAAATCACTATTAATAAATATT